TTTATATTATTTTATATTAAAAAAATATTATAATTATTTATATTTATTTTATATAAAAAAAATAAAAATAAATAAAAATAAAATAAAATAAATTTTTTTTATTTTTATTAATATTATTAATTAGCCTTTATAGCGTAGTAATTAAGTATTATAAAGCCCTATCTGGTCCTATAAAAAGCTGGTTTAAACCTGGCTAGAAGCACCTTAATTTTTAGCTTAATTACCTAGAAAAAAGATTAACTTATATTTTAGTCACGTGATACTAGGGGTAAACTTATATTAAATTTACCTAAAAATTAGCTTATAAGCCTAAAGCTTTAAGGTATAAGAAAAATTAAGCTAGCTTATATTATAGCTATAATATATTATAAAATTAAGTATTATAATATAAGCTTTTTAGAAATATAATTATAAGTAATATAATAATGAAAGTTAAAATAAAAGTTAAGATATATAAGTAATTAAAAGCTATTTTATATAAAAGAATATTTTAAGAGAATTTTTAAGAGAATATTAGGTTTTTATCTAGCTAGGCTAGCTAGCTAGCTAGCTTAGTAAGGTTTTTCCCAGATACAAATAAAATATAAAGGTTCTAGAGTATAAAATACTAATCTAGTAGATATAAATAAATAAATAAATATTATTAATTATAGTTATAGTGGAAGTTAGCAAGTGCTTGTAGGAGATATATATATATATAAGAGCAGTAACTAATAATTAGTTATATTAGTATTATTAATCTTAGTATTTACTAATAATAGATTTTTTATTAATACTAATATATAATTATAATAAGGTTTTAATAATAAAAAAGGTAAATAACTTAGATATAAAATTAACTTAAAATATAAGAGAAAATAAACTATATAAATATATTATATATATAGGTATTTTAGGTTTTTAATATAACTTAATATAAGTTATAATTATAAAGTTAATAAGTTTATATAATAATATATAAGGTTTAATTATATAATAATAGCTAAGGCTATTATAAAATAGCTATAGCTAGTAGGCTATAATATAGTATAAATTATACTAGTATATTTAATATATTATAATATATATATAAATAGTCTACTTTTCTAGTCTCTTACTATTTTTAGCCTAGTATACCGAGAAGAAACTGGTCGTGAGGGTTATTAACGTCGGCGTCGATAAAGTGGGTGATTTTCTGGTGATCAACAGATGAAGTACCCATGCCGCGGGCAACTTCGTTTGGGGCCTGCTAAATAAGAACTCATGTTGTTAAGCTGTGCTTGAGAGGCAGAAGCATGGCACGTACTTACTAGAATCCCGTGGGCTTAGTAAAGGTGCTTCTTAATGGCGGCCTTGGTTAAGCAGACAAAGCAGAAGTCTAACTTCTTCTTAAAGCCTTAGGCGAAGCAGTCTACACAGATCCACTTCAGCTTATTGCCTTGGCGTAAGGTGGAACGGTCCTTAACACAATACCTAAATTACTGCCACCACGCCCTTATGTCCTGGCCGCCAGTATAACGCTTAAATCCCGGCTATTTCGCCTACTCCTGACGGCCCTAAAGTGTCCAATCAACCTTAATAAAGTCAGAGGCCATCCCGCAAGGACAGGGCAATAGCGTTGTTAGTAATGAGGTTCCTGCAGACGATGCTGGTGGCGAAGACAAGAACTTGACCCCCTCTATTGAGCTTGGTTGGCTTAAAGTGGATGGAATAGAAGAAAATATATTTGACGATATAGCGATGATGTTAGCCAGTCAAGCACATTGCTGCCACAGTTCGTGCAGTGTTATGTTGGACACGATTATGGGAAACCATCGAAGCTTCGCTGCGCCATCCATAGCTACGACAGAAAAGTGTGGCCAACATCACGCGTGTCTACACGCTTATTTGGCGTTCAATACTAACTAACAGAAAAAGAAAAGCTAGGAAAAGCAAGGAGAAAGCTCAGGTCCTCAACTGCGTTAAACTGGCTTTGAGAAGAAGCAAGCAGCCTCACAGTTTGACTACGGCTTGGTCGGCAGTGTTCAGGGGCAGGTAATATAGCATCCCTATAGGCTCCGGCCAGTTAAGTTGGGGTTACTCGTCGCTCTAAGAGCACCCTATTGGCTCGAGCGGACATGCACAGACAACGCAACGCGCACCGTTTCTATTATTATAAATAAGCCCCATACAATAAATAAAGTCACCGATACACTCCTTCAGGATTCAATCGGGTCTAGGAGCGTGTCAACATTATAAAAGCCAACGGGAAAGAGCAAAAGAAAAAAGAAACTTCTGATAATTATTACCCAATATTTTACACTTTGTCTTGGCTGGTAGGATTTGATTAAGGGTGTAGATCTGAGATCACAAAGCATCTTCACGAACGTTCTGCTCCCAACGCAAGGTTAGAGTAGAACGTCTCCATTGTCAATTCAGCTAGGAATCTTTCAGTAGACTCCAAGTTCAAGATATTCCCTCGGCATTACTACAACTGGCTGCAATGCAACTAGCACGGAGGGATAGCTCTTTAGAATTTCACCCATGCATTGGCCAATATGTACCCAGCTTGCGGAAAATTGAGTACAAAGAGACCTACCCTATATGCTGTAGTTAGTGGGTACCTAGAGCCCACGCATTGTGCTATTGCAGACCAAGTAGCTCCCAAACATGGCCCGCTTCGACCAAATATTCTCCGTAGATCATTTTCCTGATCCTCTCGACGACCAAAAATGGATTTATTATGATGGACAGATTATATACTACGCGAACCAGCGCCAAATAGATCGGACCTTTTGAATTCGCAAAACGTTTAGAGAAATTGTAGATTACTTAGCCTTATATAGAAGTATATAGAGCTATATTACACGGAAATCGCAAGTTATATAAGAGCTATAATTATAAGACCTAGGTGTTACGACCCAGCCGTAGGCTGCAGTGTAGGTCGCAGAATGGGCCGACTGTATGAGCCACCCCGTGGAGGGATAAGGCCTATATCAGAAAAATAGTTAGAGTGTATAAGGTGATTATAAGGGTTATCTTGCGATTAGAATAATTACTATATAAGTTAATATGATTGCCTTATAATTAGGATGACTTATAGTTAAAAGTTGCTCTTAAGAAAGAGTGATTATTTTATATATAAGAACCTTAATTTTACTTTATAAATAGACTTTAGCTTTTTAGCTTTTAATAATAATTATTATATTAACCTAAGCTTTACTTATAACTCTTTAACTTTAATTATTTGGTTACGGTTTATAACCTATTATTAATATAATACCTAACTGCTTAGATTAACCGCCTTAGTGGCTTTATTAATATAAATTACGATTAGTTTATCCCTTAGGAATCTTAGCTATTATATATTAAAAGCTCTTATTTAGACTACTATTACATCACTTTAAGTAATATCTAATAATTGTTTTAAGATGGCACCTTAAATATTAACCTTATTTAGATTACCTAATAATAAATAGTAAATAGCGTAAGAAATTAATTAATTATATTAGTAGATTTAATAAATATATTAAGCTTAATAAGTTATATCTTAGAGGGATTTAAAAGAAATCATTAAGCTTAAGTTATTAAGACCTTATAATGGAGCCCTAGGCGTACTTTAAGGATTTCTTACCTAACTTAGGGTATATTATTAATTTTTCTTTAATAAGATATTAGAATATTATATAAAGATACTCTACGCTAAAGGATATATGACTAGGATTATACTTACATGGTTTAAGCCTATTATGAGAGATTACCTTAATAATAAAAAAGATAATTATAATAATAAAACTAATATTATCTTTTTTAGTTATAAGGAATTTAAGAAAGCTATTAAGAAGGTATTTAAAATAATTAATAAAGCCAGGGCCACTAAATATAATATTAATGGGCTTAGATAGAAAGGATTAGTATTAGATTATATTACTTACTTTAGATTACTGGCATTATAACTAGACTAGGAGGATAAACCCCTTATATCAGCCTTTTATAAAGGACTTAAAGAAGAAGTTAAAGATAAACTTTATAAAGAAAATAGACCTAATAA